ATATATATATATATATATATATATATATATATATATATATATATATATATATATATATATATATATATATATATATATATATATATATATATATATATATATATATATATATATATATATATATATATATATATATATATATATATATATATATATATATATATATGTATATATAAACAATTCATATATATAATATAGGGAAGATGGGAAGGAAAGAATTAATTTCTATTTATATTTTCTTAATCCACAATAAAACATCATAAACTATACAGTATTAACATCAAATGATCGCAATCTGAAAACATTTACATAATGAGAAAATGCGATAATACACAGTGCAATGCCATTACGCCGTATTATGTGCAAAATCTATACATAACAAGAGCGAGAAACAAGAAATGATCTCGTCGTTCTCGAATAACAAACTAAAAAAATCTCTCCCCTTTCTTTTATATTGTCTCAACTGAGACATCTGAGAAATATCTTTTCTTTAAATCAAAATCGCATAACTCATAAAGTACTTATATGTCTCAAAAGATAACAAACTCAACGGGACCCCTTCTGGAAATAGACGTATACAAGTATAAAGTCAAATATAACCAGCATGAAATCGTATCTTTTTGTTTAAGTGTTAGCAAGTGTACTCAACAAATAATTACTTTCGGAATTACGAGAATTTAATAATATCCAATATTTAGGCATTCGTATTTAAAACATTAATACTTAGCATCTAATCTTCTTTGATAATAAGTGTAAAGTAGGATTAATTTGACGTTATTGAACGTCGATTAATTTTACGAATTTCGCAAAAATTGGAAGAATCTGATAAATTTATCTTTAATCCTACACAGTTTTACATTATAATACTTCTACGCTACATTATGATAGGCTAGTACGATGAATGTATACATGATTCGTAATACGCATCTTTTTTTTCTCGTAATTCACGTTTATTTTTAGCACCAAACAGTATATATGTGAAAAGTTTCGCGCATAAAGCGTTTTGCGATAAATAATGCCCCAAAATATGCATTCCAAAATCGATATTCGCGAAAAGTCAATCGTAGCAAAAGGATTACTCGCAACCTACGGTAAAAAAACCCTTTATCAAAGTTTAAATGCATATCAAAGAACAGCCGCTCGCAAAACGGCGCGGCGTGAGTAAACACGTTTAGCAAAATTTTTTCTCGGCAAAAATTCTGTCAAAAACGACCTATCGCGATCGATAGGTCCGTGATGAACTCTCAACATTACGGCTTTTCATACCATGAAAGGGAAA